ATCAAAACTGATGATGCTGTCGATGACGATGACGGTGGTGGTGCTGCTGATGATTCAGAAGCTTTTTGTACTTGCTAAACTAAGGCATTCAAAACTGTCATCAAAGACCATCAGCAAAACAAAACGGCAGTGATCAAAACAGTATGGCAACAACAACCAACAACACCTTCAGTCTCCCTTCTTCAATTCTAAAACAAAATATTTTTATTTGCTTGTTTTTCCTGTTAGACTAACTATTGGTAAAGATGAAAAAAAAGAAAAAGACTTAAATAAATTTGCACAGTTAAACAAAAATTGAGGACATAAAATTTGCTCTTAATACCACTACTACTAAAATCACTATTCTCCTTCATCCATCCTTTTCTGTGCAGCACAAACTACAGATTATGCAATTCAAAATGTTACAGCAACAATTAGAGTCCGGACAACAGAAAAATATGACCAAAGGATAAACCAATATAGCAGACATTAAAGACCCTTTAAGGAATTGCAAAAAAAAAAAAAGAAATGAAAGATTAACTTGAAGATACTGCTACTGAAACGACGATACAACTCAGTAGTTTAACCGAACAAGTAGGAATAGTGGAAAGAGCAGTGAAAGGGAGAGTGAAAAAAAAAAAGCAGTGAATTATTATAGAAGTTATAAGAATCAAGGTAAAAGCACTAAACAGTAATAATAAATCATTACAGACTATAGCCTTCCGTCTAATCGAAAAAGATTCTTTATGAAAAAGTGGCAGCAAATTGGACAAGCTTCTAAACGTTGGTACAACTGCTGACGACCAACTAAAACACCCCAAACTTCTTCAGCAATAGTTAAAACACGGTATTCAGTAGCGAAAATACAAAATAAAATTTCTTCCTTTTGTGTAATTTACGAAGCATTTTTCGGTCATCAACTTTCGCTTCCAAACATTCGTTGATTAATTAGCCATTTTTCTATAAAGAAAATACCTTTAACCAGAAATAATGCTATTTTCATTCTTTTTACTTACGCCGTTCTATGCCACCACTATAGATTTGTTTTCACAAAAAAAAAAAAAAAAAAAAAAAAAAAAAAAAA